GCCGAAAGTAGTTTTAAGACGTTCGCCGAAACAGAAAAATCCGATTTTCTAATTTCATTAATGGAAAGAATTAGAGGATGAAGTAAGAATTATAAACTTTAGTGATTCTGTGACACAATTTCGTCCAATAAGAAAGCGAATACGGCTGATTTCTTGTAAAATGTCTTTCAAACTAGCAAAAAATTACACGATCTGTGCAAGGTCAGCCACCAACTCCTGTATTAAATCAAGAAGTCACCTGGTTCAGCTAGGAAAACCTATTTTTCTTTCATTTGCGCCTGAACACAAACTCTACGACTACGGTAACTCCAACAAAAATCAGAATTTGGACCAATTCTGGACACCATCTAGAATTATTTTATTGAAAATGACACTAAAGTCTAACACACGAGAGTCTGCGAGAGACGGAAGGGTGAGAGACGGGGGACGGAAGATAGGTGGCCCGAAGTCATAGGCGGCATGAAATGTGCGGAAAGTGAAAATAAGATATTATAATAAATTAATAAGACGTAACAGTAAATGAATAAGCAATTATTGGTCATTAACAAACTGAATGAAAATCAATTGAGTAGATAGTCGTCTTACCGTGATGGTCTCTTAATGTCAAATGTTCGCCTCAAAATTGCTCATATTCATCACTTGGTAACCAACAATGTGCCTTGTCCACGGTCATCTAAAGTTGAATCCCTAGCACACAAACACAACACTCAAACTAAGGAGGTGGTATCACATAGTCATTGTCTCTATCTCATCATTAGTATCTAACAAGTTGCCATCGCTGTCACTCGTTTCTACCAAGTTAATAATTATCTCTTCCTGTATTTCTTCTATTAGCCGATCTTTCTTCCAATATCCATCTTCAATTTCGATGACGTGTTGTATAACTTTTCGCCAGTCATCACTGGTTGTAGAACTGATCGCATTAGTGGTTACCTTATTTAACGTCTTCAGGCTAGATTCGCCGCTAATGTTGTGGCTTCTAATAAAATATACTAAGTGACATATAAATCCGAACACCCAGTTTAAATGGTTTTATTTTAATAAAATTTTGTATAAGTACTTAATGAAGCATGATAAGTAAATGATAAACATTTCTAAATGATTGCACTGCTTTAAAGCCCTTTGACCTTTAATAATGTGTGGATGCACCCTGATGTGCTACGCATTCTCCAACGCGCCTAGGCATGCTTCTGATCAGGTGGTCAATATCCTCCTGTGGTATCTCATTCCAGGCAACCACCAACTCCTCTCGAAGTGCTTCTCGAGTCTGAGGAGGACGTTGCAAATTGAGCAATCTCCTACCCATCATATCCCACACGTGCTCAATTGGGGATAAGTCGGGAGATCTTGGTGGCCATGGTAACAATGTGACATCATTATGTTGAAAGAAGTCTATTGTGACTTTTGCAACATGTGGTCGGGCATTATCTTGTTGGAAACTTGGATCTGCCAGGGTGTCAAGATAGGGTAAAAGATGGGGTTCTAGAACTTCGTGGATATAACGCTGCGCGTTCATGTTACCTCTGATGAAGATTAAAGGTGACCTGGAACCATAAGCTATAGCACCTCAAACCATAACTCCAACAGTATGATGAATATGTCTTTCAACAAAAAACTGTGGATTCCTCCTTTCACCACGTCGCCTTCTAACCCTGGCACGACCATCGTGCATGCCTAAACAAAATCGAGACTCGTCACTAAAGACAATACTGTTCCATTCCTGATCCCTGAGTGACCGTTGTCTGCACCACTCAAGGTGATTACGTCGGTGTTCTCGAGTTAAAGGGAGGACGAAGTGGGGCCGGTATGAAAACAAGCCAAAACTTCTCATTCGTCGGTAAACACTTCGCATGCCAATAGGTCTTCCGTGTTCTGCAAACCATTCATTTGCAATGGACCTGGTAGTGGAGAAACGATCCCTTAAGGCCGATAATCTTAGGCGGCGATATTCACGGTCTGTTGTTCTACGGCAGCGTCCAGTGCCCCTTGCTCTTTGCGTACGGCCTTCGCGAAGCCATGCCTGACAACACCTAGCCACAGTGTCTACACTTCTTTGCACTCTAACTGCAATTGCCTGAAAAGAAAGTCCAGCTTCCCGAAGTCCCACTATACGGCCCCTATCAAACTCACTAAGTTGACGAAATCGTACAGGTCTCCGTACTCTAGGCATCGTAACCGATCGTAAAGAATGTCAAGAACCAAAATCCGCCAACGTTCATTCTTTACTGCGGCTGAAATATTCATTTTTAGAGTTTAGTATATAAAGCTTCCTTATCCTCGGCATAGAAGGATGAGGAACATGTGCGAAAATTTCATCAAAACCGGACTGGTCCTTTCCAAGTTATAGTAGAGTTAAGAATTACCAGACAGACAGACCGATGGAAAACAAAATATCTCATTTTAAAAATTTTCCGCGATTTCAATACTTCGCTAGTAGGCGAGGAAATAAAAGAGACCATGCAAATTGTAACTGAATCCTAAAGGCTTTTTGGTTCTAAATTTTTATATCCATGCACCATACGAATAAATTTCACGACGAAAGCACTTTTATATCTCACACCTGACCGTCGTCATATATTTCCCCTTTTCTTTTGTCGTTACGGGATGATATAAACATTATTCCGATCCCTTAAGCTCAAATTTTTTATCTCGCCCATAACCGTTACAATCGCAAATAAGACAATTTGGAATCTTGGCAAAAAACTCCCAGGAGCGTGGCCGTAAAAGATGTTTTCCCTGCTGTAAAAAAACCAACCCCGTGCTAGATCCTCCAATTTGTCCGTTCGCGCTCGACGTGCGGTAATATTTCGCTTTGATGCCACATCGTTCTTTACGTTCTACCCCGCTCTCACACGCGTTGCGTCTCAGTGTGGGATAAACACCAATCAGACGCTTTCACGTCTGTTAAAAGCGAACGAAACATTTCAACATATTACATACTCGTACTCTATCTTCGCTAAAGCAGAATTTATCCGACAGTGGACGATGGTACGTAGCCGTCTTGTGTCATATAAGCGCGGACTTGAGGATACGCGCTCTAGGCATTTTGAGCAATCACAAAAAGGCTTCTCAAAAAGTTACACGAAATTTAACATTTAACTGACACCATAAATGTACAAAAACTGAATGCTTCTTTATCACCAAACAATACACACAGACACCACAACAACTTAACAAAAAAGCCTGACCACTTTATCATTTGTTGTTCATGGCAAGATAAATCGATACGTAAAAAATTCTTGAATTCTAATGAACATACGTAGGTGTTTACCTTTTTTGTCGCTCATTGTATTAAGGAATGTGAAAATTTTATCAAAATCCGGGCGGTACTCCTCAAGTTATAGATATAGACAAACAGACAGACGATGCAAGATTTTAGTACTACTGTAAGTATAATAAGGTGGAGACGTCTACAATGGCTGGTAGGCTCGGACATCGGTCTTCTATATTGCGCCTCAACAACTGTTACGACTTTTTTTTTGTTGTAAATTATAGTTGCATAGATTTTACGAATTAGAAGGTTCTCTACTGCTTACTCGTTTACTAGTTCATAAGATACGATATAGATACATAAGAATATATGGATCTCGTACCCTTGCTAAAATATATTGTGTATAGCGGTATATACAGGGTGGCGCATCGAAAACGAAACAGACGCATTTACCGAGGGGGATACAAGTTTGGCAAAAAATCACGTTAACACTTGCAGCCCCCCTAAAATCTTAAATCGAAAGGGGGGTCGACTTATTTTAAAGGTCTTTCAATTCCCTTTATAATGATGTAAAGTACATGAGCTGCAGTTCAGTAGTTTTGAAGATTTATTGATTTAAAGCTTAAAGTAGACTTTAATAGGTACATCAGGTTAGTTTGTACTAGTTTCGGAAGAAATTTGACTTAATAAGTAAATGCTTTTCTTCAAATGTATTGATCTCCACTAATGATGATGTATTAGTTTTATTTAAGCTTTAAATCAATAAATCTTCGAAACTATTGAACTGAAGTACATTAATTTTATATCATTATAAAGAGAATTGAAAGATCTTTAAAATAAGGTATCACTTGACCCCCCTTTCCATTTAAGATGTTGGGGGTGGTGTCACCCCCGCTTAGGGGGCTGAGCGTGCTTACGTGATTTTTTGCCAAACTTGTGTCCCTTGAAAACAAAATCGACGGGTCTGAGCGTTATTCAAAAAAAAAAAACTTCCAGTAAATGCGTCTGTTTCGTTTTCGATGCGCCGGTACATTGTACATAGCATTTCTTATTTCTGCTTCCACCTGTTGATCCCCTCCCTTCTGGTGAACCGGCCCTAGTTAACCTGAAACAAAACTTAATGAGTAGCAGATACTTAACTCACACTATTCTAGTCGCATTTAGGGATGCAAACTTTTTATAAATATCGATATATCGATATATACCGAATTAAAGCGATATCGATTTATCGATATATCGGTCTATTAAATCGATATATCGATATTTCATATTTTCTTGGAAGCTTACAGAAATTAGAAATCCAAAATTTTTATACTTATATATGTGAAGTGAAATAAAAATTCGGATAGGTATATAAAACGTTTTTTTCTTTCCATACATTTATTTGGGAAAATTAATTCCAGTATTTTGTACTGCTACTAGCTATTGAACTTAAAAATAGTAACTTTGACAGTCTGCTTCCTTGTAGCCGGTTTCTGCTCTGAGTTATAGTGGCTCTTGCTTTTGAAAAAATACGTTCGGAAGGAACTTTTTTTGCCACAATTGGTAGATGACTCATTGCCACTTTAAAGAGATTGGGATATACACCTTGCATCTCTTGCCATGTTTCAATAATGTTTACTTTTAGAGTATTTACAGGAGCAGAAAGATATAACGTGAGCTCGTCGTCACCGTCAGTTTTTTTTCTTATTATTTGCGTGCTAGCCAAAGATTTATGGTGCTTCCAAAAATCAAATTCACTTTTTTCTTCATCCTCTGCAGATGGTGATGAACCTGTTGCGGTTGCGGCTGCAGATTTATATTCTGAAATTAATTTTCTAATTTTTTAAATCGCTTTTGCACATGCGTCGGGTTTCTTAAAATGCAACTTTTTGAAACGAGGGTCTAGCAACGTCGAAACCGCTATTAACATATTGTATTCCAACTGGCCAAAACGCTTCTCCATTTCCAGAGTAATATTTTTCTTCAAATTGCCGGCAATGCTTGAAGTAATCCTCGATTGATTGTATTGGTCAATTGCACAACTCACCATAGGCACAACTTTTGAAATAGTGACATAATGTTAGGCAGAAGCCTCTCTTGTTATAGCTTCCAGTGGTCGCAGAACACGCGTCACGTCTTTGCGTTTTATCCGATTTTGTGGGTATTTTATACTAAGCGACATATAAATCCGAACACCCAGTTTAAATGGTTTTATTTTAATAAAATTTTGTATAAGTACTTAATGAAGCATAATAAGTAAATGATAAAAATTTCAAAATGATTGCACTGCTTTAAAGCCCTTTGACCTTTAATAATGTGTGGATGCACCCTGATGTACTACGCATTCTCCAACGCGCCTAGGCATGCTTCTGAACAGATGGTCAATGTCCTCCTGTGGTCATGGTAACAATGAAACATTATTATGTTGAAAGAATTCTATTGTGACTCTTGCAACATGCGGTCGGGCATTATCTTGTTGGAAAGTTGGATCTGCAGGATGTCAAGATAGGGTAAAAGATGGGGTTCTAGAACTTCGTGGATATAACGCTGCGCGTTCATGTTACCTCTGATGAAGATTAAAGGTGACCTGGAACCATAAGCTATAGCACCCCAAACCATAACTCCAACAGTGTGATGAACATGTCTTTCAACAAAAAACTGTGGATTCCTCCTTTCACAACGTCGCCTTCTAACCGTGGCACGACCATCGTGCATGCCTAAACAAAATCGAGACTCGTCACTAAAGACAATACTGTTCCATTCCTGATCCCAGAGTGACCGTTGTCTGCACCACTCAAGGCGATTACGTCGGTGTTCTTGAGTTAAAGGGAGGACCCAGTGTGGCCGGTATGAAAACAAGCCAGTCATTCGTCGGTAAACACCTCGCATGCCAATAGGTCTTCCGTGTTCTGCAAACCATTTATTTGCAATGGACCTGGTAGTGGAGAAACGGTCCCTTAAGGCCAATAATCTTAGGCGGCGATCTTCACGGTCTGTTGTTCTACGGCGGCGTCCAGTGCCCCTTGCTCTTTGCGTACGGCCTTCTCGAAGCCATGCCTGACAACACCTAACCACAGTGTCTCCACTTCTTTGCACTCTAACTGCAATTGCCCGAAAAGAAAGTCCAGCTTCCCGAAGTCCCACTATACGGCCCCTATCAAACTCACTAAGTTGACGAAATCGTACAGGTCTCCGTACTCTAGGCATCGTAATCGATCGTAAAGGATGTCAAGAACCAAAATCCGCCAACGTTGATTCTTTACTGCGGCTGAAATATTCATTTTTAGAGCGTTAGTGAATTAAAAAAAAGCAGTATAAAAACCGGAATATCCAACTGATAAGGCTGAAAATTTCTTCACTTGTTATTTACAGTAAGATAAATACATTCACCAACTTTTATTAAAATAAAACCATTTAAACTGGGTGTTCGGATTTATATGTCACTTAGTATATAACACCCTGCTACATTTTTATTATTTGTGTTTGATAAGAAAAAAACTAAGATTTCAATAGTTGGGCCAACTGAAGTGGAAAGGGGCTCGTATATATCGTTTCAATCTGAACTTTGTAATTTCTTTCATTGTTTACAATTTCTACAATGGCGGCTGATCACCGATCGACCGCGTCGTCTCGACCACCCACACCCGTAGCACAACAGCGAGAAATATTTTCTCCCAACACAAACTGCAATCTAAGTTTCAAAAGAATGTTGAATACAGGTACTGGAACAGTTATTATTAGACATGAATAACTGACGTAACGTCCATCAGCTGAGAGCTGTTAGGGAACTGAATGCGTTTAATCTACATAACTTCTGACTGTTCCACTTGTATTGAAACACTAAATGCCAAGGTTAATCATCAACTTACGCATTTCCGTATCAAATATATTCACATGTAACGTTCGAAATGAAATTCATTTGGGCTCTGCTGTTAAGAGTTATCTCGCATGTACGTAGTGATCCGAATAGCACTATTTCTAGAGCAGAAAACATTCAAAAACATAAGTTCCGAACGACCCAAAATTTCTACGCTGCTGATGGGAATCGTTAAAGACAAAACATGAATATTCTCAATGAGGAATTACTTAGGGGTGGAATTACTAATATGCCACACATTATTTTTGGCAGCAAGTTTCACTAACCCCGCCGTATTTTCAAAGTAGATCCAATTTAAGTTTCTAATGCGGTTTATACAGATGAAACTATTTTTCTCTAACAAAACTCGCAAACATTTCTTAAGCGAGTCAATTGATCCATAATCTAGAAATGCAGTAGATATTTTAGATAGTATAGAAATAAGTGAAATAACAATGGTAATGTGTAGTGAAACGAGGGCGACCAAGTAAAAAAAAATAAAGGAAAAAGTACTCACTCTCCAGTTGACGAGAAGGGCTAAGTACGTCTCTGCCCGAAATCATACCGCTCCAACAGAAAAAGAAATCAGCTGATGCGCTACCGAGCAGACGCAGAAACCACATTGATTGCCTTACACATCTTCTAACAAGGAAGGCAAAATGTTGCGTTAAAAGTCTAGGTATTGCATCCCGTCCAATCGATTTGGGAGAATAAATGGTCCAATGAGCATACCGTCCACCATGCCAGCCCAAACATTCACCGAAAATATTTGTTGAAAATATGCCCGACGGACAGCGTGCGGATTTTCTACTGACCAAACATGAGTGTTGCAAGTTATTCACCCCATTACGCGTGCACGTAGATTCGTCTGTCACCAATATGCACTTCAAAAGGTCCGGATTATTGTCATGTTGATGCAACAACCACTCACAAAACCGCACTCTTGCTGGCAAATCGTCAGGTTGAAGGGCTTGTACTCGTTGGACGTGAAACGGATACAGCCCCTCTTCACGCAGCGTTTGCCACACTTTAGTTTTTGATACTTGCACTTGTCTAGCCACGTCTCTAGTGCTTGTTGAGGGATTCTCGTCCACGCGATTACCTCTACAGGCGTGACCGTAACCGTCGGTTGAAGGTTGCATACTGACCTGACACACTGACCCCGACCCAGTTCTGTCGTCGGGTTGAGACAGTGACCTTGTACCAGTCGGTGATGTCGCGGCTACAGGACGGTATTCAGATATTTTTGATGTTGCAGAGCCCTTTATCTCGGTTCCCTTAAGACATTGGTGTATATGGTACTAAGAAAAATTGCTTAAGTTTTCAAGATCTACACGTCGTGTAAAGGAAAACCCCAACTTTGCGGACACCCTGTATATAGTTAATTTTATTTGCAGATTGTGGTTTCTAGTTTACCCAATAAATATCATATATAAATATGACAAATCTTCTCTTAATTTTTTTATATATCTTTTGTTTCGCTGACAGAATCAAGCTTACGGGAAAATCGCACGGAAAAATGAGGCAAGCTACTGAATACACTTCCTGAGCTGGAGAAGACATAAATACTTCAGACTGACACACCGGCTGAGCGACGGAAGTCAGCGACATCTTTCTCTTGTACATTTTACCGAACTTCTAAAAGGGTATATCATAAACTTGACATTTTTCCGATTGAGTTGTCTTTCTTGGCCACTGTTCGATAAGCAAAATCGGCGTGAATCAAGCAAATAAACGATACTGTATCTTCCATTGAGTTTGTAAGACGTGGGAGTCTCAGATAAATCAAAGAAACTGATAATGTGGAAATTCAAGAGTGGGTCGTGGAAACCTTTGTTGGAACGAAATATAATAGTCTTGTTTCTAGTATTCGTGTTTTAGCTCTAATTAGATGTACACGATGTGGGAGCTCAGAGCAGAAGGGGCAAAGAACTCGTCCTTTGTATGTAAAGACGACCGGCCTTACTGAAATCAACTGTAAGCTCTAAAGGAACGCAACTTGAAGGCAACCATACTCGTGTATAGTAAATTCATTGATGGTTTGTCCGTACAGCCTGTTGGCTGACAGTCAGCAAACTGATAGTCGCCGACAAGTCATGACCTAGTTTATTCAGGTAGCTTTTACTGACTGTATAGATTGCATACATAAGAACGTTACGAATTGGCTGAGGGAGCTTCGACCGATTGCTGACAACTGATCCTCTGTTCGCACAGAAACTTCTGACTGCTTGATGACTGTCAGATTAGTCAGCAGATTATTGTCCGAGCCCGAAACCAAGTACAATCATTATTCGGATGTAACATCTTTCATCATGATGCAGGGGCGGCTGGCCCTTAAGTTCTGCAGAGCTGCAGAACTGCCAAAACTTTTGTGTTAACAGAAAAAAAACAGTAGTAATTTGATCATTATTAATTTTCCATGTTATCGCACAAATAGAAACAATACCGGCAACGCTGCCCCCGTAAGACACAGCGTCGATTCTGTCTTGTATTGAGAAAGCAGTATAATCGACCAATTGTGTACTTGTCATTTTCGTCGCGACCGCAGCGTAACATTATTCATGGGCCACTTGAAAAGGGTATGTGCACCACTTCGACACAAAATCTACAACAAAATCAAATGCGCGATTTAAGCATAAGCATGTGCTGCACGTTATACAGATCTAATGCGAAGTACGATATCTGATTGGTCTGCCGGTGCTCGGTATAAAATTTTGCGGAGCATTTGAATTGGCGCTACGGGGCAACGACGGAACCGAGAGCTCCCAAAACCCTCAAATATTTCGTGGACTGATTAATTTTTCTGATGAGCTTGACACAACCGCAAGCGAACACATAAAAAATGCTTCAATATTTAAAGGAACTTCGAAAGAAATACAAAACGATCTACTGGATTGTATTCTTGAAGTTTGTCATGAAGAAATAATAAAACAGATTAACAGAGTCTCGTATTTGGCGATAATAGCAGATGAAACAACGGACATTTCGGGGAAAACCCAACTGGTAACAATTTTCAGGTACGAATTTAACGGCGAACCAGTAGAACGTATTTGGAATTATATGAATCCCGAAAAATGAGACGCTGATACTCTCCCAAACATAATTTGAGTGTCGTAGATCCATTAATAGAAAATTTCGCTAACAAACTGATTCCACAAAGCTATGATGGAGCCGCGGTAATCAGCGGACATGATGCTGGAGTACAGGTAAAAATTAAACAAAGATATCCATTTACTCACTATGTGCATCAGTTGAACCTGATTATGTCCCAAGCTGCTTCTGCAAATGCTCAAGTTCGGGTGTTCTTTGGGG